TTATTAATTCCCACCTAGATGTAATTATCTATTTTCAGTATTGAAGGATGTCCCAGTGCAGCTGGTTATGGTGCAGTATAGAATATTCTTGTCTAATATACACTTGGTAAAAGAGATAAAGACATTTACTCTGAATTAGTTAGGCATACTAGTATCATGTTTTGCTGTCCTTGGTTATACTTTGAGACTTTCTGACTATTGCACTGTGGTAACAACATGCCTTTCATTCAGCATGTTGCATGCATAATATGCTGGTCACTGCACAGTGCTGCAGAAGTTAAGGCAACTTGCAGTAGCTCATTTCAGCTGCATGGTTTCTGCTCTCATTGGATGTGATGATAGTGCCATCACCCTGCTATGCTTCATTCTGCAGAGTTTATAATGAATTTCCTGCCTGTCTGGAAGATTGCCTACTCTTTCCACATGGCCTTCTTTCTCACCTCCTTTCACTCTTCTCCGGGTCCTTTCAGAAGCAAACACAGCACATTTTTGGCAATGCTCAAACAAATGTAAATAAGCATTTTATTCTTCCACCATCCCTCTCTCTTTATCTCTCTTCCTTCATCTCTCTTTTCTCCCTCCGTCTCTGGTGGAAGACAAGTGATCAACTTGCCAAGAATTAGTGTTATCCAAGAGCCCGGAGTTGTGCCAGCTAAGTTGAGAGAAAGGAGTGTAATCTTACCCGAGTCAGTGTATGGGCCTGTTGCTGATAGCCTTCCAAGTACTGCTTTTCTCTTGCTAGATATTTAGACAGTAGAGAAAAGAAAAACTTCTTTATTGTTGGTGTGATGCAGCTCATTGTCTAGTAGTTGTTGAAAATGTGTAAATTTTATTCTGAGTGTTCAATTACAGCTGCAGTAAAGTAAGTACAGAATTACCTCTCCCAGTGACTCAGACATTGTGGCAGCATTCCTGAAAGTCTACCCCACAGTTCTCTAAGAGTAGATTCAATCTTAAGTGGTGAATTTCTTTTCATTTGCCTTCATCAACCACAATACTTAATTCAGGATACTAAACTGAGATCTTTGTGTGGCCAGGTGCATGACCCTGCTTGGGATGCATTTAACAAGGGAAGAGTACTTTCCATGAGATTATATAGTTTTGTCCAGATATCAGAATCTCTCAGGACCTCAGAAAAATTGCTACAGTCCAGAACCTATTTTCAAAACCAGAAGCTAACATTTTGTTTCAAATAGTAGAGACCCAAGAAATGCTGACCAGTGCTCAAAGAGGTAGAGCACTTGCAGCTTACAGTAATTTATCCCTGTGAGATCAAGTCCAGCTGTTTCAAGTCAGATAGCCAAGAGTCAGTTTCCACTATTCATTATGAAAAGCTGGGATTTAACCACTGGAGAGCTTTGAAAAATTCTAGCAAGCACATTTGGAGATTTAAGTGCCTGATTACCTTTTTGAGTATCTGCAACTAAGATTTGTTTGCATATACATCATATACACACTTTCTCTTCATGTAATCCACTCTCATGTTGCTTTTTCCTGTCTATTATTTGTGTAGTTGGTTAAAATGCTTCTGTCAAATACTTTCAGCAGTGGAATTGGTGGAAAGTTGTTTAACCTTGCTTGCCTCCTTCCCTTCCTCCATCTCTGTAAGAATTTCTGTCTGTATTCTGCTTACTAACCTTAGGATTTTTCCCCCCATTTCAGACTTGACATGAAACGATGTATTCTGAGAGAGAAAGATTATTTACTTTCCTCCATTTTTTTATAGTTTTCTGTATTTTTCATTCAGTTTCTGCTCAGCCCTACATGCTTAGATGTAGCCTTAGCTCCATCTGCACACCTACCCTCCACATCAGGTCACTGACCCCTGTTAGGAATGCTGAACAATTACAGGGGTCTTTATGCAGCTTTAATGGAGAGTTCCAGTCCTGCCCTTAGTTTGCCAGGCATGAGCAGGTTAGAAAGAGATCTGCTTTTTCATTGAAGGCTTATTTCCCATATCTAATACATAGCAGATGACTTATTTGCACGATGAAACTGCTTTAGGAACCAGAAGCACTGGTTTTGGCCTTGCTATCTTCCTGATATTTTGGACTTCTGCGGGAACAGACATCTTCATCTCTAAGGCTGCTGTTTTAACTTGACTGCTGTGGAAGGTTCCCAGAGGTCATTTTGGTTCAGTGAATGAAAATGTAAATAGAAACCTATCAAAACTGCATTTACAATTCTGAAGGATATAAGATTTTACATGTGAAAAAAGACAGTTTGTGGATATAAACAATGGTAGCTTTACACACAGGAGTTGTTGATTTCAAGTTTGAATTTGTTATAGTGGTTAGAACTGAAATAGTAACTGGTGAAGTAAAACAGTGCTGATGACAGCTGTGTTTTGATATGCATGAGAGCACCTCCTTGAATTATAAACTGGGATATCGCTGTGCCATGTAGAGCTACCATTGGCAGAATAAATTACACAAAGCTGAGACTGAAGAGTTATAGCTGTGATGGAGTTTTTGCAAACTGGAAAACAGTTTGTTTTTCTGATGTTCACTTCATTAAGCAGAAGACGGTGTAGAAACACTGCTATATAGTAAGGTTATAAAACATATACTTCACAATAAATTACGGAGCAAACATGCAGTTTAGTGTAGGAAGGCAAAAATAAAAATGTAGAAAATTTATTATGAAGTGTCCTACAAGTATTAAGGCCGGTGCATTAGCAATCACTGATTGATTTTTTACCAATGCTGTTCATACACATAAATCATCACCACTAAATATTGTGTTCTGGGTTTGCTGTCTGCAAATAACTTCTTATTAATACTACTTGAGCTGATTTTTATGTTCTTGGAAAGGATTGTGGGAAATGTGTTTGCCCGTTAAGAAGCTGAGCCAAATATCTCTCTTTTCAAATGAGAGCTGTGCTATTCTGAAGCCCTTGAAGGACCTCAGTTGCATCTCCTGCCTTCAGACAAAACTGGTGCAGCCCAAGAGCTGTACAGTCGTTTGCTTGATTAAATGTGCCATCTAGTGGCTAGCGGTTGATAGTTAATTTAAAAAAGAAAACATAAAGCCAATGGACTTTATAATGCATATTTACACCAGCAGGGAAAATGGTTGGAGGTTGATAAAGCCTTATATTGCCTTCTTTTTCTCTCCCCAAATAATAGGCACTCATAGAGCATTATTTGTTTCCAAAAATAACATTGTTTCAACTCTCTGTTGAAACTCTCTGTTGAAACTCACTCTCTGTTCTCAGGCTGTTTGCTGAGGTCCAGATTGAAATCATCCACTATGGCAAAGTCTTTGGGCTAATTAGAATTGGAAAAGTTAATGTGGTATTCACAAGCTTCAGAAGTCATATTGCAACATCACTGTTACTGCCTGCATCTGAAATGTTGTTTCTCAATAACTCGGTTCAAATGTCTAGAACTGCCAGAATTTCATAGAATCACAGAATGGTTTGGGTCAGAAAGGACCTCTAAAGATCATCTAGTTCCACTCCCTTCACCACAGGTGAAGGCATCTTCCACCAGATCAGGTTCCTCAGAGTTCTGTCCAACCTGGCCTTGAATGTTTCCAGGGATGAGGCATCTACCACCTCTCTGGGCAACCTGTTCCAGTGTTTCACCACTAGATCTCTCCTCTTATTTTAAAACTATTGCCCCTTGTCCTGTTGCAACAAGCCCTATTAAAAAGTTTTTTCTTATCTTTCTTATGAGCACACCTTAAGTATTGAAAGGCCACAATAAGATCTCTCATGCCTTGCTGCCCACATGTATCCCTATTGTCCACCTGTCCTTTATATTACCATTAAATCTTGCTCTTGCTTGTACCTAAGCGGTGTGAAAATTGGATTTAGTGCAAAAAATGGTGTCATGGTTTAAGCCCAGCCGGCAGCCCAGAACCATGCAGCCACTCACTCACTCTTCCCTCCTCCCACCCGCTCCCGGAGGGATGGGGAGGAGGATCGAAAGAATGTAACTCCCACAGGTTGAGATAAGAACAGTCCGGTAACTAAGGTATAACACAAACCACTGCTGCTACCACCAATAATAATAATGATAAGGGAAATAACAAGGGAAGAGAATACAACTGCTCACCACCCGCCGACCGATACACAGCTGAACCCAAGCAGTGATCTGTCCCTTCTGAGTAACTGCCCCCAGTTTATATACTGGACATGATGTGCTGTGGTATGGAATACCTCTTTGGTTAGTTTGGGTCAGGTGTCCTGTCTCTGCTTCCTCCCAGCTTCCCTTCCTCCCTGGCAGAGCATGAAACTCAGAAAGTCCTTGGTCAGAGTAAACATTACTGAGCAGTAACTAAAAACATCGGTGTTATCAGCAGTGTTCCCAGGCTGAAAGTCAGAAACACAGAACTGCACCAGCTACTAAGGAGCAGAAAAATGACTGCTACTGCTGAACCCAGGACAAATGGTCACCAGAGCTATCCAATACTTCAGTGGTTAGTGCATGTACCCAGGGTTCAGCACCTCTACCAGTTGATTATTTTGACTTTATATTCCTGTTGGTGCTGAGGTTTTCACTATATAAGCGTCTATGTGGGGATACTCAGCCAAAGTCCCCCATTGTTAGAAAATCCCACAGAAGGCTGAATCCTGACACACATGTGCCATTGTTTCACATGCTGCTGGAGTTTCACTTCAGTTGAGCAGTCTCAGGCTATTTTCAGTTCCACACAGCACATCACTCAAATTGCTGATACCAAGAGGGCAAAGACATCCATACCTGTGTACACTGAAATAAACCCGTCAGCTTTGAGGTTGGGTTTGGGAGAGAGGGGTTCAGATGCAAGACTCTTGAGGATCATTCTGAGGTTTGCAAAATTAAATTAAACACTGAAAGCAACATTTTTATGTTGTTTCTCTCTGGAGACACCCATGGGATTCAGTCCGAGTCACTCAGAACAAACTGTGTGGATCATATCTAATCAAGTACTTACCTTGATTTTAAAAGGGATTCTTTTAGATTGTTGGTTTAAGGAAAGTGTTACTATTTTTCTGTCCGTTTCTGTTCTAGGATATTAAACACAACGTTGTTTGAACTGTTTGAAGCTCTGGGCAATTTTCCTGCCTTGTGGGTCTTCAACGTGCTGCTTGTGATTCTTCAAATTCTGCACTGTTTTTGGTCTTACCTAATCATAAAGGCGGCCTACAAAGCTATATCAAAGGGCAAGGTAAGACAGCATGGTTCTATAGGATTTTAGTGTTTTCAGTACCAGTACAGGGTCACTGACTTCGGTTACTTTTTCTTTCTAATCCATAACACATTGCTGAAGACAGATGTTTTATGTGAACTCTTCTTTCTTTCCATGGTAACTTTATTCCACTTCTTCTAGCAAGATTATACTCTTTATAGTGATTGTATTTTATGTACTTCCACAGTTCTCTTTTATAATCCAGTACACTGAACCAAACTACATTAGGGAAATTGGATTAAAAAAAGAAAAAAACCCAAGCAAACTGCTTTCTTGGAGCTGCCAGTTCTGGTTTTATTCTTTATAGTAGTTGTTAGCAAAGTGTTAGTTTTCCAGCTGGTAGTGATAGCAATACTATTAAAAGTTGGAAATCTATTGCCTTTGCTAGTGGCAAAATTACAAATCACAGCCTCTTTGGGGTTTTGGTGGTAATGGTAGGTTCTAGGAAGGGCTACATGTGTTTTTTTCCAAGAGTCCTACAGCAAGACTATTTGGGATAAAATATAGTGTCTTGCTGCCATTGTTACATTTGTCAGGAAGATAAAATTCACAGAAATACTAGCCCCACTACAGTTGCCGTGCAGATATGATGCTCACATTTAGATGGTAGCACTAACACTTAGAGATCATGTGAAGTGTAGGGCATTTTGTCCTTAAAGAGTAGAGCTAGAACTCATGAGTAGATGTTTTAGACATGTGACCACCCCTGAAGTGAATGGGATTGTTCTGCAGAAAACTGCTTTCTATGAATGTACTGGAGAGCTCAGCCTTGCCTTGGACGGAGCCCAGAGTCTGCCACTCGCTCTGTATGGAAGACAGTGCATTCATGAACTGTATTTTGCCTGGAAGCCATACTTCACTCTCCTCTGCTTTTAGCTATTATTAGCCTCAGATGTCCTGTCTGAATTACACCAGTGACTTCAAAGGGTGCTTCATACTCTCTCTTACTCTGCTTGTTTATCCTTTCCCTTGTGCTGTGCTGGAAGGCTGGCAAGTGGAACCCCTTGCATGTAAGTTTCTTTAAATTTACTATGCTAAAAATTTATTCTGCTCAATACTGGTGTTTATGGTTTGTTGCTTTTTTTTGGTTTTAATTTGTAGTTTCTGCTTCGTATTTTTATCAATTTTTTTGTGCTTAAATATTTAAATGAAGGCTGTCTTTAAAGTCCATTTTTACTTCTTGTGTATGTGTTGCCCAATACCATTCAAACTCATTTTATCTGTAGCATTTGGGTGGTATTATGTTACAAATCTTTCTACAGGTCTATACCAGCAGCAGCTGCTCTGTCACCATGCGGGAAGCATACTTCAGAGCATAAGTCCTCTGTTTTGTAGCTCAAACAAATTTAGGTTTTACAAAAGTGGTGAGACACTCAGAATAGGACAGTGACCAGGTTAAAGATGCAGATGTATGACATATACACTGAAAATTCTTCCTTCAGATCTTACTTCCTCACTTGCAGCCCCATTCTTTTCATTCCTGCAGTAAAATAAGCAGTGTTTTCGCAACACGTTACAAATAATTTACAGTAGATCTTCATTCTAAATTATTGTTTTATTTTTGTATTACTAGTATCCACCTCTGGAACAGCTCAGCTGATAAAGCAATTATCATGAAATTGTTAACTAGTCCTGATCATCTGTTTCTTACTCACTGTTATGCTTAGGAGTTTTATAAACCTAGAGATGTATTTTCTAGACTCCTGTAGAAATTAGTCCAGTGGGTTCTTTTGAGGATAAACAAAGAGAACCAAGTACTGCAAGATGTGTTGCATTCGCGCCAGGTTTTAGGTCCAAAGACCCTGGTGTGTTGCTGCATTTTAAAAGTAAGGAGAGCGGATCAGATACTTAAAAGAAGTGGCTGCAGCATAGAATCTTCTTCGGATTGTTTGGCTTTAGGGCAGAACCTTAGCAGAATTCGCAGTGAATCTGATATATTAAGAGAATTTAAGATGACACAGAATTTTTCAGTCATCTGGTCTGCCCTGTGCTGATCACAGACACTCAGTACCCTGTACTCAGCCCATTCTCTTCTGTCTGATAAAAGTATAATTCTCAGTGTATTTGTGTATCCCCAACAGTTTGAATATTGAAGTCCCTTTATAAGAAAGAGACTGAAGTAATCTCTTAATTGAAGCTTTGTAAGTGTGAAATCTAGTTTCATATTATCAGAATTTCAGACTTGCTAGACATTGACATTAAAAACTACTTGTTAGGAGAGATACGGAACTGTGTGTTTCTTTTTTCTCTGTTCCCAAGCAGAACAGTCACTCAGGTGTTACAATATTGCAGGGATACATTGGGAACCCCAAAGCAAATGGCTGTTTCTGAGGTGAGAGCTGGAGAGCAGAATTGTCATGAGGGCTTTCAGGAGTAGAGGAGGATTACTGTAAGAAAAAAATACATGCAGTGGCCCTGTTCTTTAAGAGGTTTTATTTCTTTGGGAAAAAGACTTGCTGTGTGTTTTGCCCCCTTATGTCCATTTGCTAAAGTCAGTTGTAATTGCCCGATGAGGCAACTGGCACAGCATGGATGTGAACAAATTCTGAACAAATTAGAAGCTCAGCTATACAAATGGGTAGAAGCAGGCATGGATAGCTGCATCTTTAATGCTGCATGTAGCTTAGACTTTAGGCCTCTTTCCATTGATGTTGTTTTTTTTTACTTCATCTGATGCACTCTTAACAGGTTTTTTATGATCAGGCTGGGTGAAGATCTGGGTAATGGTACCTGACTCCACAGCTGACCCTACTTTGAGCAGGATGCTGGGCACAGACTTTCTGAGGTCTCTTCTGACCTGAGAACCTATATATATAATCTTATAGGTTGGCAGTGCTACTGTTACCTCCCTAGGGAAAACATCACATTAAAAAAAGGGCAGGCAAGGGGCAGGGCCTTTTGTTTGCAGGATTTTATTTTCTGTTGCCCCGTTAGCTCTCTTTAACTTGACTGTTGTTGGCTCCCTCATGTTTTTGCTTGTTTTGGGTGCATCTGACTGAATGGGTTGAAGCAAAGTCACCTCAGGGATTCAAAAGGGACTCATCTCTCAACCTGAGTGAACTTCCTCTGTGACCTTCAAAGAGCTCGACAAAGTTGGATAGTGGACTCAACCTAAGGAATAGCATTCATCTAGTAAATGGGTATAAACTGGCAGGAAAGAAGTCAGCTGGAAAGTAGCAAGAAATCCCTAGCAATTAAGGTCAGTCTGTTTCTGAAACAGTTTTCCAGTCACATGATGAGGCAGTCAGTTACACTGCTCAAGTATGTTTGTGGTTCCTGTGATAGGGACTGAAGTGGACTATGTCCATGGTTTCCAAGTCCCCTTCTCACCACTTGCCTGAAGTTGCAGACTGCAGTTACCTGGTGCGGTGAGTTATGTTTCAACCAGTACTCCCGTCTCCTACTGCCACTTGTAGCACTGTTCCCTGGAGCCATGTGGCCTCTAGAGAATGAGTTGGGAGGTGACAGGGAGGAAGTTGAGTTTAATATTTCTTATTACCAGGTCAAAAAGAAGCACCCCAGAGAAAGAACAAGAAATAAAGTTGTAATAGAAGGGCAGAGAGACAAGGGCTGGATTGAACTTGGGAGCTTGGATTGTTGGTTACTTCAGCTTGTTCAAAAGCCTTTGCCTTGAGCGCTGTGTCCTCACCAGGACATACTACCTTCAGTGCACCAGTGCAAAGTTCTCCCTCTGCCTTTGCATATAGCATATGTGTGTGCAGGCATCTGTGTTTGACGTGAGTCCAGCCAGGCAAAGGCAGAGAAGTGCATCAAAGATGAGATGATTGCCTTCAAAGCTCAAATTGAAAAATGTTTGAATTCCCAGATTCTCTTGAAAAGAAAGCTCAGTTTCCTTACAATGACCTACTGCTTGCTTCTTTGACAAATTCTGCAGGTAGCAAAGGATGACCGAAGTGACATTGAGTCAAGCTCAGATGAGGAAGAAACAGTACCTCGTTCAAAGACCCCACACAGCGCTATCTCCACTAATGGGACCAGCGGTGCCAACGGGACAAACGGGTATCTCACTGGTGGCACTTGCTCAGAGGAGCATTAATCCTTGAGTTCAATCATGAGACACGAACAGAAAGAACTGTTTGCTACTGGAAGTAAATTATAAGTTGTGAATGCGGTTTCTTCATATATCTCAGCGTCAGAAAAAATTAGGAGTATCAAAGCCTTCTGGTAGCGCACTGCCATATTTCCTGTTTGTGAATGAAGACAACACGCCATTCTGTATACGTAGGCATGCTGTATGTGTATGTAACTGACACAATGGGAGCAGTATTTTCACTTGTACTGTCTTTGAAATATTATTTATTTTGTATTCTTTTGGGAACTTCTGGACAAAAGGGAATATCCATTCTCAAACTTTATCTCTTGGGATTCTCAGTAGTGAAGAGCATTACGCTCAGATCTCTTCTGTCCATTCCTGTTGCTTTTGCCAAGTCTGCTATAAGTAATAGTTGCTTGATTTGTTACTTACAGTAAGATAGAAGATAGCTTTATATATTCTAGATCTGCTTCAGATATTTTTGCTATATTTGTGTTTAAAAGTGCTGGTATTGAAATTGCCTATCAAATCACAGTGGCCATTCCTCCAACATAAAGTTTTTGAACACTGGATTGATATATTAAATAGTAGGTAATGTGGTCAATTAGCAATTTGGGGAAAAAAAACTGTGGTAATTGTAGGATATTATTTTAGCATAATTTAAAATTCAGTTTGGTGGTTAATTGCATTAGAAGTAGACTTGATTTGTCGTGCAAATGCCCAAAAGCATTGATGTCAACAGTTAGGATAAACTCATTCTCACTTTCTTCTTTTTTTCTTTTTTTTTTTCCTCTTACATTTTTTGACCTCTGCAGATATTAGTGTCTTTTTGCAGAGATTCCATGTTGAAAGTTGTTTGTTCAAGTGCACCATTGTGAATCCAGACCTCACTCCTATAACTGTTCTTGCATGTTCAGATGGATGAGAGCAGGGGTATAATGGAAAAAACAGCAGATGACAGGTTCATTGCTTCCTTGGACACAGTACGGTCTAGGTATTGTTCTTATAATTACATCACTTTCTTGATAGGGTAACGAGAGAGAAGGCAGAATGTCATACATTACTAGAAGTAGTGTATTCTAAATTCATGGAAATTTGAGCAAAATTCACTTAACGTAAATCACAGCAAACTTTGAACACTCAGCAGAATTTCATCACGTCTACGAATAAAATAAGGGTGTCTGTAAAATAATTTTGCACTCCTTTTTCATCCAAGATCTAAAAACTGTGTCCCAAAGAAGACAAACTAGGACCCAAAATAAACATCTTTTTAAACATTATGTACACACTTCTTCCAGTCTCTAGATCAAAGTTTGATGTAGGATGCTAATCTTGCCAGGACACTTTTCTGGGATTTGTGACAACAGTGCCAAAAGTAGGTGAGGTTCTTGGGTAACAGACTCTATGCAACCTACTGTTCAACAGTATTGTGTATGTGCACACAGAACCAATGTGCTTACAGACCAAAGACTGTATATATATATAAAAAAAAAATTAAAAAAAAAAGGAAATAAATGTAACATTAATGTGTAATAATGTGTCTTCTATATACAAAGGGATTGGAGTGCTGTGTTCAGCTGGAAATCTGACAGGATATCTTTCTGATTCCTTCCACCTATGCAAATAGCAAAATGCAGATGGTTTCTGATGCCATAAAACACGTTTGAAGGCTCTATTTTATACAACTCCTTTGAAGAAAGTTGTGTTGCCACTTCTTGCTTTTGAAAAACTGAGATTTGTCACTCTTGAAAATTACTGAAACCTCTATTATCCATAGGGACCTTGTGTGTTACCAAAAAATGTGCTAAAAGTAAGGGCAGAATGGCATGAATGAAAAATGTACCTCCACTTAGGTGGAGATAAAGATAAAAAACCTGAGAAATTGTAAACCATGGAAGAAGAGCTGTCCAGATTTACTTCCTACAGAGCATCTTTTGAAAAAGCCAGGTAAACTTGAAATTCAGCAATTGCATAGCTTATATGAGTATATCTGATTGAGCAAGGGAGTCTTACTCAAATCTTCTCCCCCAAAAGTTTCTCTGCCTCTGTTTTTTTCTCATCTATCTCCTGGGCCTCTGATTTCTTACAGTTATCTGCAGGGCAGGTTATACATGTGAAAATACACTGATTGTCATGGAAAGTATTTGAAGTGGCAGTTGTTTAGTAATTGTCAAGATGATACCAAGATTTTAAACCAAAACCATCCTGGGATATTAGTGAATGAAAATAATAATTTCTGAAATATGACCTGCTAAGAGGGTAATTGAGAATAGCAGTTTAAACACACCTCTTTCATGGTGTTGATTACTACTTCCACTGGACCATTTCCCTTCTTCAAAGCTGGTTACAAAAATGGCATTCTGGCAAAATATTTTGTCTTACATGGGGATAGAATATTGTTCTGAAGTATCAACTTAGACAACATACAATACATAGTACTACCATGTTGTTTATACGAGGGTAGAGAGCAGTTCCCAATTACAGTCTGTGTGCAAGAGGCAGGAGACCTTTGGTCCTTCTTGGTCCTCCCCAGCTGTGCTCTATAGTGTTGATTCAGATGTGCAGTCAAAGCTACAACCCTTGAGATGATTTACCGTTGCTGGGTACATATGCTGTTAGTGTGTCCTCGCTGTTACATAGTGCAACTTGAACTGAAACTCTTTACTTGAGGTTTAAATTCAGTTGCATTTATGATGCACTAAAGGATGTATACAGTTGCCACGGTTCAGCTGAATCCCAGTGACTTATCTCCTATAAACCTGGCTTTTCGGAGTCCATTCTTAGCAGCCTAGAATAAACTTAATTACAGGTATGTCTGGAAAATAGGTGAGATGGGAGATTCAAACACATTTGGGGAAATGGGATGAGAGTGAGGAAGCACTGAGAGCTTCACTAAACTTTCAAGCTGCAGGGGTTTTTATGAATATTAAAAATCACACCTTTTTTTTTTTTTCCCAGTGGGAAGGACCAAGTGTTTTAGTGATCATAAGTGGCAGTGTGTTTCAAGTCATTATTTTAACCAATAGATGTCAAAACTTCGGTATCATCTTCCAATCTGCAGAGAGAATGTCATGCAACTGTTTCCTTTTTCAGTTGAATTTGCTTCTTTGCAAGGTGCTTTTGAAGGCCATCAAGTATTTAGAGGATAATTACATATATTCCAGGCAATTGATTGAAATTACTGTGATGGTTCATGTTAAGTGCAAGATCTTAAAAGGTTCTGTGTATTTGTACCTTTTGTAGAATTGTCATTTTAGTCATTTTAGAAATGAGGGGGTTTATTCTATAACCTATTTGTCTTCAACTTCTATGCTCCCTTTTTATAGTCCAGTACATGACACAGTGGTTGAGATGTTGAAGTAGAAAAAGTAAGACATGATATGTAAAGTTTATTAGTAAATAGTAAGAATTTGTCAATTCTCCCTAACCAGCCCAGAATAAAGTAAGATTCAAGTCTCCCTTTGTTTAGCATTTCCCATATTGGAATATTTTGTATCTCCCCCCCAAAAAAAAAGGAAAGTGATGTTTTGGTGGTTTGGGGTTTGTTTTGGATTTTGTTGTTGTTGTTGTTGTTTTGGTTTTCAGAAAAAGCTAAAAACGAACATTGCAGAAAATGGTAGGAATATGTGATCAAACAACAAGGGTGGACATTGGAGTCTTTTGGATCTTGATCAATGTTAAATAGTGCTAGTTCTAAAATACCAAAGTGTCCTGTGCTCTTTCCTTGTTGCTGTTTTGTAGTTTTTTCTGTGTGTTATTTAATTATTCCGGCAGAATTGGAACAGGTGTAACAGCTTCACATGCTTCTGTCTCAGCCTCTGACCAATCTGTGCAACCATCAATGCCAAATCCTTTCTCTGAGGTGCAAGTAGGTGCACTAAAGCTTTGCTTACTGTGAAGTGATTCTTGTCTTAAATCAGTTTCAGGTGAAAATCATTTTCTGGTTCTGAACAGGACACAAGGGCGAAAGCTGTTACCCTGCAGTAAATGTCAGTGATGATCATCACTGGTAGATTTAGACACCGTGTGTGTTTTATACAGGGTATTCTAGTAGGAAGCCTAATGCCTGTTTCATTCATCTTCTCATTACTGCAGCCTTCTGTATTCTCAGAGAAATGCGGGCTGCCACTATTTTCTATAGTTGATGCTTTGTTATTTTTTAATCTCTTTGCTACAGTTCTTTTTTGTATGTCTCTTGTTGTCTACTTGTTGTGACATTTGTGCGAGAGGAGCTATCAAATACTTTTTACCCTTCCTGTAATGCAGACCCTGTTAGGCCTAAGTGCACTGTTCTGCAAACTACAGTTGCCTTTAAACCATAGATCAAAACCAGTTTGTATTACTTGTTTTGACTGGTTTTGTTTTGGAACAGGGACCTAATGTGAACTTCAGTAAGACAACCTTATTCATTTTTTTCTTTTCTTTTAAAAAAGCACTTACAGAGGTTTGGAAAAGAGGTGTAGGTGTATGACCTTCAAATTGTAAAGATTTCTGATTGTAGTTGCAATGAAAACACAGAGTTTGTGTCTGTAAAGAACTCTCAGTCTTTGAAATTGCTTTTAAAAAAAAACAAAACTGGAGGAAAAACTACGAAATTATGTTTTGGAGCTGTGTCAATGACTACACATGTCAGGCAAAAGATAAAAATTATTGTCTTACATGACCTAAAATGATCTGTGAAATGAAACACATTTTCTGGCTTCTGTTGAGCTTCAGCTTCTTGCAGTCCTGGGGTTTAACTTTTATACATGAGCTCTCATACCATACTGTGCATGTTGACTGCCTGTTGCAAGTCAGGGTGAGGCAGATGACACTATTTCACCTGTGTTTTCATGACAATCCTGTGCTTGAGCAACTCTTTCAGAAATGCAGTGAATAGGAATTCAACTGTCCCAGACACAGTGATGTGCTAGCTAGAAGTCCTTTCATGTGTAGCTGTTGTGTAGAACTTTGGGAGTTATTTTGTGTTTAACTCGGTTTGGTTTGGTTTGGTTTTTTTAAATATGGAAAATAATGATTCCTCATGAAATCTCTGGAACCAATCAGTATTGTGGGCTATTTTTATTTGGAGACACTTTCATAATAAACTTAAGTATTAGGAATGTAGTGTCAGTTTTCTTATTTCTGTGAAATTCAAACAATGTTTTCCTTGGCTTTAGCTCAAAGATTGTTATCCACATTGCAGACTCCACCACTTTTGGAGCAGATCCACATATGTCTGAGTTAGTCACTGCAGTATTTTGTGTTATTTCTTATATAAAACTGTAACAGTAGGTGTTACAGAGTGGTCAGAGTTTCTTAAAAGTAAATGTTCATTTAGATGTTTCTGGCTAAACTGTCCATCTGCAAAGCAGCACCTATTAACCACTTCTGGAAGCGAGAGAAGAGGGCCACTCTTATGTAGTGGTTCTCCTAAGGAAAAGCTGCAGCTTTTGATTTTGCCAAGAGAAGCTGCATCTTTCAGACTGCTTCTATTAGAGTAGACCAAATCTGCTTGCTTAATTATGATAGGATTCTATGTTTTTTCATTACTATGAAAAGGAATACAGGTTTTGCTTTGTATTTTTTTTAAACAAGGAGTTATCCATGTGTAGCAATGCACTGAGCTGGAGTTGCTTTCATACACTTGCCAAAGTAAAGCCTACAAAATACGATTGTCAGTCGAGCTCTGATGCAGCATTCAAAGATGATGAAGAAAGCACTTAGAAATGGAATGCATTAAAACATTCCTGCAGCTTCAGCAGAAAATAGATGCAACAGTTCTCATAAAGCAAATACTGATAATGTAAGAATCTCCACTCACCAGCTGAAGTTTTGTTCTGAAGAGAAGTAAACCTGGGAAGTTGCATTGTGTTTAAAAAACTAATTACTGTAGTTATGAATATGTCTCAATGATAATATATATAGAGAAGCTTGTAGTGCATTTAATACGGCATTTAAATTCTGTATTGAAGAGATTTATTATGAGATTTAATTATGTGGTGTCTTTTGCTTTCTATTCTGCATATACCCCTCAACTTACATACCACAGGGAGAGCCACTTTGTACAGAAGATGGCTTGAGATAATGTGAAAAAGAGCGAGAATTTTTTGATGTACTGCCTTTAAGTCTGTTAAGGTCCCTCTGTACAAGAAACACAGTGGTTCTTAGAAGATGATGACAGGTGGTCTGTGCTGCTTTAGAAGAGCTAAAAGGTGATGGCACAGTCTACTGTGATACAGAAGGTGAGTGGAAGGAATCCAAATGTTTTAACTGTGCCAGATGGGCAAATTGCCACATGGCACGGTAGCTCCTCATGCTGTGATGAACAGAGGCTGGGATTGTGTAGGAGGGATTCTCATTCCATACTGTTAGTCCTGGCTCTGCTAGTGTGGGTGGAGGGTTGCTGTTTCCATAATTGCTGCTGTGGCTTTTGGTCATCTTTGTGCCCCCTTCTGCAGGATGCTCGTCTTGTCCCTTGACAGATTTTACACTGCCTGCCTTTGTCATTGGCTTACCTTCTTCAGTGGATTTCACAGAGCAGGATGCCAGTTTGTGCTCAGGTATAGAAGAGTGCAGGGTGGTTGTCATATGGTTGTCGTAAACCCACAGAGTTCTCATGCTGGGGAATTTTAGAATGTGAACACAGAAAGTATGGGTGATGCTGAATGTACTTTGGTATGTGGAATAGGTGTGAAGCTGGAATGCACACTAGGCAAACATGCCATGTCTAGACTTCTGACCAGTTGCTGCCCTTCCTCATAGGCTATAAAATCCAGAGATTACAGGTCTGTGAAAAGTGAATTCCAATAATCCAAAACCTATCTGTGAAAAGCAAGTTGATAAAATGAAAACTATTCATTAACTAGCTAGAATAATGGTGTACTTAAAGTGTGTGCCATGCCAGGCTCATCTCTGCAGAGCTTTCCCAGTATGAGACAACAGTGCCCACAGGAGGCTCTCTCTTGCGGGGAGCAAGGATAAGGCTCACGCACCTTCCAGCTAGTAGTTTAGAAGGCAGCTTTATCACTATAGGATAAAATACACTTAAGGAAGGTGTTTTATACCAGTCTTCAGCCCCGAGTCTGCAAAACCATTGATGATGCTTGTAGAGGGATTGCCTGAATGCAGAGTTGTGTGCAACACTGAGGTGTTTGTAAGGTTCTGACTTTCAAATACAATTGTTTAGATGTGACACAGCACCATCAGCTTTTAGTCACTTGAAAGTGCAATATAAAATTAGATATTGCAGCATAGTTGATTCTTGTAGTTTTACCTGCAAGAGTAGCATGATCAACTTACAATGTTAGTTTTATAGTTCACTAATTAGATGAAAAGATAATGTACTTTTTAATGCTGCTTGCTGGTAACATATATTCCCAAATTAATACCCTTTCCTAAACATCTGAAAAACAGCACTGTACTTCCGATCAAAGTATAGAAAATACTACACAGGTTATTTTTCACACCTTCCAAAATGGGACTGAGCAAGGCTCCTGTACAACTGCATGGCAGTAGCATTTTTTGCTATATTTAGGCAACTTTATGCAATGTCCCCACATCAAAAAATCATTCTGAATTTCAAAGATGGAATGTGAACCTTCTGTAAATAAAATTGCATCCGCTCCCTCCTGCATTAACCTAACTAGCAGCTTTCTGTCCTGTGTCTGAGCTTCTTTTAAAGATAACCTCCCCTTTTATCTCCCAGTAATAGTGATTTTAATTACTGTTGCTCTCCTAAAGTAACCTTGAAAGAGCTGCTTTTTACCAAAAAGGCTTGCTATTTTACAGTTAAATTTGTGTGGTCTCTCATCTAATTTTAACTTAAACTTAATTCAGCCATAGTAGATGTTAGTGTATCTCATTTTTATATGCAGTTTCTCACTGAACAATCTCTGTGGTGAGATGAGTGCCCATAGCTGTTACTTTATGGGACAACCTAATCCATATGCTAGCTCCAGAAAAGGATTTGCACATTAGTAGTCTAAATTGCTTAAAGGTCCAAAGTTTGGTCCTTCAGCCGTGTTGAGGAAGTGATGACCCGAGTTGCGGTACCCCCCGGACCGGCTGGATGGAAAAAGGAGCCAGGACTGCTGTCCAGACTAGAAGAAGCTTCCACCGAACAAAGAGCATGAGAATCATTGATACTTCTCATAGTTAAGCTATGATGGTCTTCGTTACTCTAACAACCAGTCCAAGTATCCAGCACAGACAAAGCTATTTTGCATGGCAGAATTCTTATATAAGAACTCATCTGTAAGATTTGACAGGTAGCTACTATAAAATGCAAACTACATGATTCAGGAGAGGAAAAATGGATTGCTAGCAATGACATCAGCGGCCACCAGGATAGGATTAACGCATGATCAAAAGCAAGATTGGATGCAAAATTTTAATGTTTATTCTGCACCAACCGATACAGTTGAGAGATGATAGTTGAGAGAAACTTCAGCAAGAGCAGCTGAGGAAAGCACACCAGCTTTCTCATGTAAATTGCATGAGAAATTGCATTGGCTGCAAATTTGGTATTTTGATTCATTGCGATGCCATTAGCAGAGTACTTACTTAGTAAAAGTGGTCCCTACTGTAATACAGTCCCAAGCAGACTTTTCAGAATTATGGGTGATCCTTAGAGAAGTCTGGAGCCTAAAATGACAGGTAATTGCTGCAGAATTACAGTTGATAGCATTGAGGATTGCATATCAGAAGAGGTATTCCCCCTTTCCTTCAGAAACATGATTTTATCAGATGACTTGTCTGCCTTTGCACTGAGTAAAGGAAAATGCAGGCTAGTAAGTCATGCGGATACTGAAGACTAATGTTAAAGGAATACAATTACCAATTTGATGCATTATTTTTCCATTAATGGGGCTGTGTCAGGCACGGAGTTAGACAAGCAAGTTTATCTCGTTAGCTTCATTTGGAAAGTTAAGTATTAGTTACTTGCATGGGTTTTTTTAAATCTAGCAGGTAAACATGTACCTGAAAGTATTGTGCTTTAACTTAGACAATATATCTGCCACCCCTGAGGTCACCACTGTTACCACTTCTACCTGCTTAGCCAAAAAGTTAACACATGCAGTCTGCTCTTAAATACCTGGAATCCTTTATGATAGATGCCATCAGTGTAACATAAGTGTAGCATGCTTTTAACCCAAAACAATAATGATGTATAGCAGGTGTTCATTCAACAGTACTATTTCTCTGTCAAGCCAGTTAGTCCAGCTGGAGCTGTGGTGGGGAGTGAAGAACTGAGCCCATGATCCAGTAGCCAGTGCAAAAGAATCCATTGAGGCAACTCAATCAAAGAACATGTTTCCATGTAGAGAATTGTCCATTTAACAGTCACAAATGAGGTATGTCAATAGCAGTTAGCATTGTTCAACATGCTGTGACTGAAGAGGAAGGAAATCAAATTAATTGTATCTTCTTTCAGTTCATCGTTTCAGTGCATAGCCACCTTAATATATACATAAGGTCATACAAAAACCTACTACACATTTGCATTGGTTGGAACTAGTTGATCTTTAAGGTCTCTTCCGACTGTTCTATGATTAAATACTATTTTTAGTGTAGTCTGTCAGTTTCCCTCACAACTTCTGAACCTGTTGCTCAGTAAGCCCAGATTTGAAAAAGAGATTGTGTTGGAGCTATCAATCACTGTTCTTATAGTCTACTACAAATCATCATCCAGGTAAAAGAAGCACAAATCAATGCTCCATACTGGAAGCAGTGTAGGCTTTAGCAGCAGCCAAGCAGAGACTAAACTAGCATAACTCAGGAGTGGCACTGTCTCTCATCCATGAGGGAGACTGTAAAGAAGAGCTGGGATATTGCAGTGAAGAGAATGGAACCATAGAAGGACAAAACCACAGATCTATAGGAACTCAGGCTTTATTGCCTCTGCTTCTGGTGGAACAACTTGTTTCTAAACTCAAGATTCAAAGGGTTCTTTGTGTATAATTGTTAGTGATGCAGGACAGTAAAGGATGAAAAGATGGACTCTCACTGTTTAGCAAGGAGTTATTACCCTCAGTCCTTCAGGCATACAATCCTGTTTCAGCAGTAAAACCTGATGTAAGTGGATTACAACTATGGCTTTCAAAAAAGGTAAGAGTACTACCATAATTATTTAGTATTGTTTATTCATATTGTTAAAAAATGCACTGTAATCTCTCTGTGGGACATGTGATTTATGTGTGCATGTGTTTGTTGTACTGGGTTCAGCAGGGCTTTTAAAAAGTTATAAATCACTCACAAATGAGTTCACAGTGGTTTCAGTGTTGCAATGACAGGACTAATTTAGACAATTTCAAGGTATTGACTAAATTCACAGTTTATTGAAGCATTAAAGAAGACTGTAACAGCACAATTGGAATATGACAGAAGCACAGCATAAGTTCCATGTCTTTTGTAATTTTCACCAGTGTAGCCAATACTTGTTTACTTGCTTTTCAAAATACATCTAGCAACATCCAACAGCATTTAGGAAAAATGTCAACAAACTCAGCCACCTCCACTCTTGGTTGAGTAGGCATGTAATAACCGTTTGGCTAGCCATAAGGACTCCCGCTAGTATACAAACAGCAATTGTGATTAAATTCACTTAGTACATATATTAATGTTATTTCAGAATGTACTGCCAGTATTTAGTAATTCATATTTTAATTTTTTACATTATGTTTCAAGACAAATTTGCTGAGGTGCTGAGCACCAGTATGTACAGCAGTTTTATGTATGGGCAGCATTAGCTGATGGCTCACACATTTCAAGCTTGACTTAAGTACAGATCAGCAGTTTGAAAGGGAGAGCAAGGTTCAATGGATAAACTGATTTATGAAAAAAAAAAAAAAGCCTTTACTGACCTTCACTAAAATCTATGACTGCCTTAAAATAAACTTTATCCTGCTGCTAGAGCACTACCACCAGTTGGAGGGGGCTGGCTGATGGTGTGTCATGGTCCCTAAGCTGCATATTTCTTTTTTGTGCAAGAGCTTTCCCATATGCTCTTTAGGGCATTACAGTTGGTATTTGTTTGCTAATCAGTACTCTAGGGGTCCCAATAACTGTATCTATCTATCTGTATAGCTGCATCTATAAGCAAACATAAGCAGGTTTACTATTCAAATTCCAAAAGAAGCTGTATACGTTTAAACTACACACAATAAACATTTCAAACTTTATTTCTTGCCTTTGGCATATGCACAGAAAAAGTTGCAGCCAGGCACACTATCTTTTCTAGCAAATACTTCCTAGGAATGTAAATTCCAGTGCAGTGGTTGTCAGATATTTTATGTTCTGTACATAGCAGTCTTAGCACAGTAATTTTGTTAGAAATCAAACAAAGACTCATGCCTGGGATGAACAAGAAAACAAAATGGCAGTAAGCCTGAGCATTTGTATTTGTTATTCAGGGTGTGTTTCAATATTTTAAGGGTTATTTTAATTTAAAAACTGTTAGAATTTAAATACTTTTTTACAGGGTCTTCTATGTGTTGGATATTTTTAACTCTTTACATCATTAGTTTTCAAGTTAAGTGGTCTTCTACTTCACTAGAATTTTCAGTACTGAATTTAGTAAGATTTTATTTGAACTGCTGTATTATCAATTTAAGAGTTTTCTGTCATATTGCAGTTATCTATTTAACTATTCTGTGGAAAGGAAAAGGCTATAAAAAGAAAATAGAAAAAGAATAGTTCTAATCAAAGCTGAGTACTATGGCAGTAATACTCTTCTTCGTAAGCTGCAAGAAGCATGGATCTATTTGTAACTACTATATTTTATACTTCAGGTTTTGCCTTAAGATTTGCGATGACAATAAATAAGGCTGTCACTGCAACATGCTTTATGTAGTAAAGGAAAATGAATAGTCTACTCTAAAACATGCTAAGGCTGGTAATCTTATGAGTGTTACTTTGCCACTGCAGTTGAAGTTTAAGGCTAGCTCTTCTGCCCAGCTAGGTGTTTTTTTCAAGAATAGCATGTACATCAAATGGTTTTGTTACTAAAACACAAACAGGCACCCAGACAGGAACAGACAGTAAAATATATAGTTTGACAGACAAAAAAAATAAAAATCATGATTTACATACATGAAAATGAGCCATAACACTGGCAAGTACAAGATAGTAAAATTTAAGTTAGTTACCTATGACACAGGTAACTGCACTAATGGCTGAGCTCCACTGCATCATTTTGGTAGGTTTCAGGCCTATTCCAGACACATACAAACCTGAAAGATGCTTTTATGCACATATTACAGAAAATACTTTTTAATGTCTTCCTGGGTTAGCTAAAAAGAGATCATTACATCATTATTTGCTGCTGGATCAAAACATACATGACTGGAGCCATTCAGTTAAGCAAATAACTATACTGTTATTTGAAGAATGATCCAACATGTCTCTCCATAATAGTGGACTAAAATACCATTTTCATTATTTTTTTATTGAGAAATTAGACACAAGTAATTATATACTTCCACAATAGAGGAAGACTGCTGTACATCTAGAGAGGTATGTGCTTGTTTTATGTAGACTGTTTACAAGATAAAGCAACAAAAGCTTTTCTGATGTTGGCAACCATTACAGAAAAATTGTTAGTTTCTCTCACTTTGAGCTGGAGCTCTGCAATACAGTCCAGAGGAGGATTACAGGAAGTCACTAAAACAACATGAATTTCCAAAAGATTAGACTACTATAAAAAAACTGTATTAGTGTTTTTCCACACCTATGAAATACAAAAGCAGTTTTTGTATTTTTTTTGCTTCCTCATTAGCCCATTAAATCATTTTCTTTCGACAGACAAAGCCTCAAACACCACACAATTATTTTTTCCTAAGCCTCCCATCCAGTGCTGTGCTCCTGCTTGAATTGTTACAGCAATTCCCAGTAATCCATAGCCTGCTCAAAAATTGAAACACATTCCTTAACATCTCTGTTGCTCTGCAGGAAGGCAGATTGGAAACCTGTGTAGCCCAGCATGTGATAAACTTTTAACTTCACAGTTTAGACTTGAATTAATATAACCAGAAACCTATACAGTCCAGGGCACAGCAAAGCAACAGTAATATTTGTCTAGACACTACTCAGCACAGTGCTGAAATTACTGCTACTGTTACTCCTAACTGAAGTAAGATCCATGTTGCAAAAACAGCTTTAAGAGCTAAAAGGCCCCCTTACAGAGGGGGAATGGTGGATTTCAAGTTTTAATCTTTCTCCTACATCAAACAACTGTAAGGGCTCCCCTCCGCTAACAGGGAGCCAAGTTTCTCCTGCCTTCTAGACCAACTTGAACTATGCCTGTCAGCATAAACACTCACTTTAGCATTAAGGGAAGAAGCAACAGACTACAACTGACATCTGTTTCTCTGTGCATCTCTCTCCTGGCTTTGCTTGACATAGAATAAACAGTGACTCCCCAATTGGAGGGAAGTGAAGCAGTTGTATTTTCATACACATTAACAAGAGAAGCTACATTTTAAAAAAATATTACTATTGCCAAATTTATCACTCAAATTGGAAGATAAAGGCTACAACTAAATGGCACTTCATTCCCCTCCCACCCCCTCCCCCTTTTTTTCCAAATAGGGGCATCAGAATCTGCTTAAATAATTAAAATTCACATACCTTCATAATCTCCTTGTTCATTTATGGAAAAGGTGCACACATATGGTTTGTCAGGATCTTTATGGTCAATATGTCTGAATATAAACTGTAATTGTTCATCTAAAGCAAATACAAACACCATTAACCTCTGCTGGAGAGTCACAATGATGACAAAAAAAACATGATGTGAAGCTACAATTTCTATTAATATTCATAGAATACATATAAGTTAAGCAACCCGAGTCTCTCTGAAAGACAAATGCATTTTAACATACTGTATTTTGCCATTTGAGAGACAGTGGTAATACCTGGACTAAGACAACTCTTCAGTTGTCTAAGCTAGGATGTTCTTCACTGCACAATCCAACATTAACCATGTTGTCTCATTGCACATGGAAACTTACTGTGCGTTCTGCGTATCTCCAGTCCAAGCCTCTCTTCATAGAATGCTTTCAACTTGCATAGTTGTTCTTTTCTCTCTTCAATGCTTTTGGAATTAGAAGCTATTGGTAGAATTTTAAAAGCCACCGTGAATACCAAAGTAAATGTGAAACAAGCACATTAAAAAAATGTTTGTAACAGTAGAAAAACCTATCAAGAACAAAGTGTTGAAAACAATTCCTCCTCTAATCAAGAAAATGCATTCATCCTTTGCTTGCTTACTTTCCTTCTTCATCTGTTCCTTAAGCTCTTGGACACTGTCAGTCAAGTCCTTGTTTTGCTGCTTTTCTTGATTAAGCATAGATTTTATTTCTGTCAAGTGCCCTTCATTTTCCGATATGCTTTCACTCAACTGGAGCATCTCTGAAAGGAGGCAAGTTGATTAATTAGATCACTGATATTTAGTACTCAATTATATAGTTTGAGATTACTTATTTGAATAAACCCCAGTTAAATGCATGCTACCTCAGATGAGGAGTGAAGTCACCATAATTATACTAAAAGCATCAAATAAAAGCTGAAAGTTACTCAGCAGAGAAGCTACTGAGTAGCAGGTTCCTCTGATACTTTAATTGGATGTAATTTGTTTCTGGTGCCAGCATTATACACATCTTCAAAGCACGAGGATTGTGGATCCTGTACACAGGCAAATTGACAGAAAGCGAGGAATAGGAACACTGATAGTAGAGTTCTGAGGTTTAACTACAGATTCAAAGAAGTTAGTCCTACATTGATAGACTGACTATATTCTATTACCAACATGGAAAAGGTGTAAAAAATCCTCACAGTATTTAACTTTACTAAGTAATTTAACTTGTTTTTCCTATTGCAGTCAACAAGTTCCAATACTTTGTTGTTTTAAGTATGTAGGCACCAAGACCAGTATACAGAAAACTTCTACTAGACCTTTATTTGCATCAGAAATGAAGTTTTCCAACAAATTGCTTTTGACTTGCAATTTACATCCTGTAAACCAAATGTTTGCTTTTAATTCTACTTTCATTCTGAAGTTGTTTCCTTCCTTTTAAAATGGGAAGTTAAGCATATTATTCAGCTGTGTTAATTTTAGAAATATTAGACACAATGAATCAAACACCATACAGTACCATTGCTATATTCCTGAATTTTATCAATCATCAGGTCCATTTCTTTCAGCTTCTTGGACCATTTCTCTGCAACAAAAAATTATTTCAGTTACCTGAAGAAGTATGATAATTTGAAAAAAGCAGAGGGAAGAGGAACATGGAGCCTTTTTACCTGAAAGTGCTTTTACGAACTCCCTGCATGAATCTCTTAGTGCTCGACTCTGAATGATTTGGTCACTCACAATGCTTTGTAATTCAGTGCAAAACTCTTCTATTTCTCTTTCGAAGAAAGCTATTTCATCTTCTCCCTTTACGTTGGCCATCGTGCTACAACAAACATGTCAGTGAGTAAATACAGTACCAGAACGCCCAAGCCAATCGCAGCAGGTTACAATTACAGGATAAAACTTCAGGGCTGGTTTTATCCCTTCAGGTTGTTAAGGCCTCTGCCCGTAGGTTGTTTTTGTTGTTACCGTTACAATAAGCACTTAACAGCGGGAGCAGCGTTTCTTCTGCTTCTCCACCAGCGATGTGTCAAGAGGAGGCAATTGTGTTCGGGATTGTCGCTGTACCAGCAGCCGCTCCCGGGGGCCGGCAGGGCCGCGCCGCGCCTCGCCTCCACAGGGGCGCTCCCACCCTTCGCTGTTCTCCCGCGGGGCTTACCGCCTTCTCTGTCCGACCGGCTGACAGCAGCAGCCGCCCCTGTGCTGCAGTACGGCGGTGCACTGCCGAGCCGAGCCCTGCCTGAGGACTGAGGCGGCACGGAAGGCGGAACACCAAGGCCGCCCTAACCATCAGCTTTTAAACCGCCAACATCTTCCCGCCTCCTCAATAGCTGCTTCCTAACTGGACACCACTTCTGCCCGCCTGGCAACAAGCGGGCTGCTGATTGGTTCAGTTTGCCCTTAGCTGAGGCCGGAGGCGCAAGGTGTGTTGGGAGTTGTTGGGGCGTTACTGAGGTAACGGTCCATCCTGGAGGGAGGCGGAGCTGCCATGACGGGTAGGGAGGGGTGGTGCAGCCATGGGGCCGGTTGGGGTGTGCCGTGGGGTCGGTGCTGGTGCTGCGAGGGCGAAGCAGCTGTAAATCGGCCACCTTTCCCTGGGAATTTACCTGTTTGGATTAAGACGTATTCTCAGGGACTGCTGAAGGGTGGCGGTTGTGCTGGCTGCCGCGGCGGGGAGCGAGGCCGGTCGATGGGGAAAGCCTGGTGCGGTTTGTGCGGTTTACGGTTCCGTACTGAACGAAGTCAGGCTTGAACTGGGGAGCAGGTTAGCTTCTTTACGTTCCTGTGAAGTTAGAACTTGTTTCCAACCTTACATTTATTCCCGGAACGTACTTCGAGTAACTTAGTTGTGAACGTAATGCATAAACAGAAATATAGCCTCATGACCTAAACTAGCACAGGTCATATGCTGCTTAAATCCTCCGTTAGGTCTGATTAGGGACGGTGTGTAATCAGAAACACTAGCGCCTAACCTTGCAGTAACTCTAGCCCAGACATTTGTTCTGATTTGTTTTTTTCCCCCTCAATTCCTGTTAGCAAGCCACAGGGTAGTCATGGATGTATGAAGTTTCCATAGTGATTTACCCTGGTTTTAGCGCTAAAAGCTTTGCTGGAGACACTGTAATTGTACCGTGTAACCCTTTTCTGCACGTGCCAGCTCTTCAGGGATGTCTTTGTAACCCAAGGGTACTCCGTTAAACTTCAGGTCCGGAGATGTACAAGGACAGCAGCAGAGTGACAACCTGCAGTCGAGCTTAAGGGCAGGCTACTGCCAACCAGGATTTGTTGCTTTATTTTATTGCTACCTCAGAGTCCATATGGGGCTATTCCAGAGCTGGGGGAAGGGGTAACTGAGAAATACAGCTCAGGATTGGAGAGCTAGTGCAGCTTCAGTGGAAACTGCTAAGGGAACACAAAATTGAAGAGGTGCTGCTAATAAACAGGCTCAGCAGCTTCTTTGGGTAGGTTTCTGACCTCACTGGACTAAAGCTGGCATAAGGCTAATTTCAGGGATTAGAGAATGGCAATAAACAAAGCAGTGATGTTAAATGAAAAGGAACAAAACCAAAAAGATGCAGTGTTGCCCCTGTGGGTCCAGACTCCATTTCTGCTTGCAGTTTATGGAGCTTGAAGGATTGTTATTCACTGTTGGAACTCTAGGTTGCCTGTGATTTCTAAAAAGTCATAGTAACTAGAATTCCTTAGATGTGACTTTTCTGTGAACATGCCAGGATTGTATTCTGTGCGTTGTTTGTATCATTTATGCTTACGCATACAGACACACACAAATATAAGCAAGTATTAAGGTGTGGCAGTTACTGTATTGCAAACAGAAGATTTGTTAATTTCCTGTATTTGCATAGTGAACTTTATAGCAAGGGATGATGACAGTGTGGTAACTAGGAGGATTAGATTAAGATGGAAGAACCAAGAGAAGGTAGCTGTTTCAGGTTAGTATTTACTAAACCTCTACTGGCCAGTCCAACCCTGAAGAAGCCTGACCTTAACTACGGCCACCTGGGTCCAGTGAGGAATGCTTGAGGGAATGAAATGTAGAAAAAGAGAAAGAAAGAGCTTCTTGAAAGGTTCTTTTCCTAAATCTAAAATTAAGATGTATCTTCTCAGTATTCCATTTGGAAAATAATCATATCTAAGAAAATAGCTGTCAGCTGTTGTATACAGTGTGCCTGTGAACTTACTAAATTGCTGCTTAATCCTTGTTGCTGCTCCAGTACCAGTGGAAACACTGATGTGGAAATTAATGTTATTGTTCAATTAACTAAGCATAATGTACCAGAAAGTTCGTCCTGGTACATAGGCCTCCATTAACAGTGTTTTAGAAAATGTTTGCTTTGATGGCTTTTCCTTCCCTTGCAAACATTTGCTTAATAACATCTGATACCTGTTATGTAATATTTGCTCTAATATGTAGGTGTAAAGCAGCAGTAAACAGTTTATCCTCCCTTCAGTGGATCATCAGCACGATTCTTGTTCCTACATTTTTATCAAGCATCTATAAAGTTTTGGATAGTCTCTGGTTTTGTATGTCTTGGGAAACAAAATATATCAGGAAATACCAATTAATTAAAAACTTTTTATAATGAACAGGTAGTGTTTTAAAGGTTTTTGCTTTGCACTAATAATTTATTTGATTACGTGAAGGTCAAACCTTGGTTCTGTAATATCAAAACAAAGCTTTGATTTAGAAACTTAACAGCACGCACATTCTGACCATTTTGTACAGAGCACTATTTTTCCTCACAATTCAAAGTACTAAAATACAGCAGATAGTTTTATTTCATATATTATCCCAAGTAAGTTTGAAACACTAAGTGCATTACAGAAGCATTTTGCAATGCTTTTCATAAAAAAGGGAGGGAGGAAGCCTTTTGAGGGAGTATTTCTTTTTTTGTTAGTTTAAAGAAGTTATTTAATACTTCAAGACATTTTGCCATCTTTGGTTATTAGAGCTAGGAAGGTCTTTAATGTTTCAGACTTGTAGGTTGTGAAATATCACAGGCAGGACAAGAGATGACTTGCTTGTCAGTTGCTGACAATCTCTTGGATGAAGCACAATCCGTTGTGCTTCCAGGCACAGTGAGAGCATCACCTGAACTCCTGCTCTCACAAAAACCTGTTTACCTGTTTCAAAAACTTCCTGCTTTCTGTTTGTAGATCTGGATTTGGTTGGGTTTTTTTAAACGTCTTTTATTAACGTGACTCCATGTCTTAACATGGATATAGGAGCTTTTGAAACAGAAATAACTTAGGAGAAAACTGGAGATTGTTTATGTTTGCTGTTAGTCTTCATTATGTCTAAGGTGCTTTCTATATAAGCAGAAAGATAATCATCAGCAAGATCTTTAAAAAGAAAATCAGTAGCAGGAGGCCTTTAGCATTTAAACTAGAAGAGGTTACTTCACTGCAACATTGCCAAGGCATACCTTCACAGGTTATATTAACAAAGTTTCTGGAGAACCAAAATGTGCCTGAGTGGCTCTGTCTAAAGAGTTTAGCCTGAGCAGCTGCAGCACTATCCCAGTGGATAACATAGGTGAGTGGATTTGTATTTATAAATAAAAAAAACATGCAAAAAGTTCCTGTGATGGTTCTGCACATCCTGTGTCAGTCAGTTTTTCTGATATTATTAACAATGGTGGCATTAAAGAGAGACTGTAAAGTGATCCATTTTATTACTTGGTAGGCTCTCCTGAGGAGATTAAATTGACTCTTGATGGAAACTTATTTATTGCAAAATATTTTCCCTAATGAAACAGTAGTTATTTAGACTTACAGTTGCTGTTTTAACTACATACTAGAAGATGACTTAGCCACCAACTGACTTGATATTTATACAAATTATTCTTTATAATCGAGACTGATAAACAGAAGAAAACCTCAGATTCTTCACATTTTTGCATACTAAGCCCAAACATGCACAAAAGAGTGATTTTTTTTTTTTTTCTTTTTTAATTGTTGTTCTAAATCCTGTGTATCTTTAAAGGAGAAATACTTTTGCAGACAAAAAATGTGGCAAAAGGACGTTTTTTTTCTAGTAACATGGTATAAAAAGTTACTTGAGAGAGAGATGTTTCTAAACAAGTACATTCTTGGGAAAGAACTGGGAGAGAGAAAAATTCCATCAGTTTTATTTATATGACAGTTCCCTTGCTGGACGCCCTGCAGTGCTATAAGCTGTACAGATCCGGTTAGCAAGAAACAAACCTCCCCAAATATTTGCAGCTAAAAAGCTAGGAGAAACTGTTGAAATTTCCTGAAATTTTGGGGTTGGAAGGGTTTTCCTTGAAATCAGGTGATACCAGTGGAAGTGAATAATTCAGTCAATGTATGCAAAAATGTTATAGCAGTTCTTCAGAAACAGTGCATATAATTTAAAATCACTTTTTAACTCTAAGGTTTTCTACCTGGCTCAATGCAGTGGGTAGCAGTAAACATATATAGGATTAAAATCTGCTAGAAAGTTTCTAAAACCAGACTATTAACAGCTAAAGTAAAAGCAAGTAGCTGAAGTAAATGTGAGATTGTGTCAGGAAGAAAGGTCTTCTAAGTCCATTTAATTGTCATGCCTTATTTGCTGAATCTGCTTAATGTTTCCATGTGACTTCCCTGACCACACATCATAAAGCTCAGTTAAGCTGCGAAGTCTCTCTTCAGCAAAACCAGTGAAGTAGTTTGTATCTTTGTCTCCACAGCTTGTATAGTTTAAATGCCATGCAGAAAGCAGTGCACATATACAGCTGCTTTTGTTTTTCTGATTTTAATTGTTGCAGATACATAGATAATCTTTAGTAAACGATATTAATATGTCTGAATATTAGAGCCTGATAAAGAACTGAAGTTTTCTTCTTGTTGCTCCAATGATATCAAATGATGGTATCGTCAGACTCTTGGTATCCATTTAATCTTATCTGGAAAAGAATTTTTCATGTAGCCGCCTCACAAACTAACATAAGCTTTTCTTATGCTACAGTTATTAGTACTAATATTGATAAATCTCATGTGCTAATATGTTATTTGCTGTATACTCTTAAAATCCTGCTATCTGGGAGAATCTCAGTTGCCCCTTGGCTGTTTGCCCTGGAGAACCTAAGTGTTTCACTCGTAAATGCTTCAGGGAAATACTCCTCATCATCTGCTCCCAGGCTTGCTCTGGTTTGCACAGCAGGTCAATTTCTGCCAGGCTGGGCAGCAAGAAGGGGGCCTGCAGGAGGTTGGGCTTCAGCTCCTTCTAGCAGAGGTGTGTATGACTGGCCTCGTGTAAGCAGCGTGCAAGAATGACAGTACTGAATAAGATGACTTGTAGACTAAGCTTCATCTGCGTTTTGCCTTGAATTAACGTGGCTTCTTGTATAATGGAAACAATTGTTTTTCAGTGCTTTGAGAATATTGCTGCTTTAAAAAATAATCTAGATCTCAACAGCATTGTTGATGTATGCCGGCTAGCTTTATTTTCCATGGCTGAAAATACGTTGTGCAAAGTATTAGTCACGGCATGGTAGCCAAATTCTATTTTGAAGTGAAATGTACAGCTTTGATGACAGTTCTGCAAAGACCAATTAATTGTGTATTCTTTCTATCCTTTATACAGGCAACACTTAACAAAGTATACACATCACTGATGTCCATCCTGCGGAGAAATGAACTGTGAGAAAATTCAAGCAAACATGTTCCAACTGTTCATAGAGAGGATTGCGTACGTTACACATTGTGTTTCCACAAAACTTTCCCCACAATTTGCTGCTGCTCAGCACATAGTTCACTTAGCTTTCTCCAATTACAATTTGCAAACAGAAAAGCTTTCCAGTGCTAACAGACTCGTGTACTTTCCTGGAGTTTGGGAGCCACGTGTTCCAGAACGGCTGGGTACACGGTGCTGATACAATATAAAGGCAACGTCAATCACCTGCTCTCATTTTTTAATAGCTCCCCTCCGTGGTTCTTATTCTCCATCACTAGAAACCTAAGTTTAAAGGAACTTTACTATTTCAAGTGCAGTTTAATCCATTAAGATGGATCTCCTTCATAGCAATGGCGTGCTTATCATTCAGCATTTACAGAGGGACTACAGGGCTTACCAGGATTTGCTTAATTTTATGTCACACGTTGGTGATCCCCGGAATATATTCTCAATTTATTTTCCTCTTTGGTTTCAGCTCAACCAAGTGGTTGGTACTAAAATGATATGGGTGGCAGTCATTGGTGATTGGTTCAACCTCATATTTAAATGGTAAGAAGTTGGATTTATTTTAAAATATGGTATTTTTAATGATGGTTAATATATGTGCCTCAAGCTTAGAAAACTTGCTTTGAATAATGTACTAGTAGACTTTGCCCTGTAATTGTAAAACAGGAATTCACAATGAAGATATTTAACATATGTTTGAAATGACATTTTGATAAGACAAGAACATCATATAGAACTATTACAGAATAATTTTGGCAATATAGCTCTTTGTATTCCTTGTAAGAGTATTTATCATGCTTTACTGAGGCCTTCTCACATACAAATATTTTTACTGTGTTTCTGCCTTTTTTTTTTTTTTTTTGGTCAGGATTTTATTTGGCCATCGCCCATACTGGTGGGTGCAAGAAACAATGATTTATCCCAATCAGTCAAGCCCATGCCTTGAACAGTTTCCTATAACATGTGAAACTGGACCAGGTAAGAAATATTTGAGATTACATTGGCACATTTAATACAGGTAGTGGCTTTTTGGGGGAGAGGGTGTGACTTTTATAAATCTCGGAGCTCATGTCTAAAATAGCAGCAAAACACAGGGAAAGAAAAAGGAGTAAATAAAATGTGATAGGTTTGCTTTAAAAGTAAACCCTGCTAGCATGAACCAGCATATCAGAGAGGAATTGCAAAACCTGTGTCATGGGTTCAAAAAGAGTGAGTTGCCTGCTTTGAGAGATTATTTTTAGGAACAGTTGCAGTGCCAGTGACATCAGCTTGAGAAGAGAAATACCACGTTGTCTAAGAGTGTTCCAAAACAGACCAGGGGGCCATTGAGTTTGAGTTTGTGCACTATTGCAATGATTATTCAAACCATAAAGAGGTAGTAGGTGTTCAGAGTGAATAACAGTAGTGTCAACAATCAGTCATGTAATGTATCACAAGTGGAAATGGAACCCCTCTCCCCAGAACCAGACACTGGCACTAAATGGAGGACACACACTTATGTGTATAAATACGGGGTGGGGGGATTCTTAAAAAAAAATAATAATAAAAAAAAAATGCACCTTTTTGATGTATTTTCACTTTTTTAATCTCATTGTCTTCTCTGCGATATTGCTCAAGTTAAATGAGCTTGTGCAACCCTGCCTAATATGAAATAAGGTAAACTTGCTTGGAGCTATCTGACTGAATTTAATTTAATTCCTTTTACAAGAAAATATTGACTGTGGAAACGAATGTGCTGAATGCCTCGTGAGGGCCACTGCAAGCTTTTAAGGGAATTGCAGAGCTGTATTTTGGTAACAGTATCCTGCATTATATCCCATTGTAATACTGAACTAGAAGCTTAGGCCCTTGTACCAGGCAGGTTTCATAATGCCTGATCTGCAGTCTGTTTCAAGTGAATTTATTTGGGACCTAACCCAAAGTATTAAATTTCTTCAGATATTTTCAAAAGCCTTCAGAACTTAGCCCATTCAGAACCATGTAATTCCAAGCCCTGGCTAAGGAACCAGTGTGTTTCATTTTGATTCATTGAACCAGAAGGCCTTTTTTTCCCATTATTTTCTTTCTGAAGTAACAAGTCATTCCTGTTTCTGTCCAGTGGGTACAACTGTCATACTGATTCCTGATTTTCTTATAATGGCCACATTTTCTCCCACCTCCAGATTTGCCCTTGACCATCAACAATATCTCAGGCACCTTTCCCTCATTAACAGGAGGAGGTGCAGTCAGCACAGCTGTTAGGTGCACACAGTCACTGTCTGAGCCTACGCTGTACTTCACGCACTTTTAAAATGTGCAGTTTACATGAAAAGATTAGAGAAGCAGCCACAGGTGTGAGAAAGGCATATCCAAATGCTGCTAACCCCAAATTCTGTGGCTCAACAAAAGGCAAAGCTGAAGGAACTGTTTATATGACTACATGGCAAGCAATGTAGGACCTGAGTTTGATTTGTACCTCTGGAATGAGCTGAACCAAAAAAACAGAGCCATCTTTTCTCTGGTATTTGTAAGATTTTTGAGAACATAAACCTTAAACTGGAGTTGGTGCTGCTTCTAGTCAGTAATTTGCAGATGAGCTATGAAATGTTTTTCCTAGATTACATTTTCCTCGATGACACAAAAAAGCTTTCCCAGTGCCAGTATACAACATTATGGTTTCCTTATCAGTGATGTTTGTTCCTTTGTGAGGTTTAGAAGTGTACATCTGTTCTGAAATGAACAATATAGTTGGTAGCTTGACTACTAAAGATACTGCCAAGCAGAGTACCAAAAATAAGTACAGGGAGCCAGGAATGGTTGTGCTTGTCCTCCCTAAACATTCCAGCTTTGCTGCTTCAATGAAATATTCTTTTGCTTTGCTAGCTACTACATAGTGCTGGATCGTAACACATTCTACAGCCAAAATAATTTCTTCTGCCCATGAAATAACCCTGTCCTTTTTACCTCTTCTTTGTCCCCACAGAAAGCCAAACTGTTGAAGTCTGGTATAGACAGATTCGAATGATCTGTTTTTTTTCTCCTTCCCTGGTAAACAGGAGAAAAGAAGTAATTTTAGGAATTGCTTCCCTTGCATCATGCCAGCATACTTTGTAATTTGGCGATTTCCGTGGTTGTAGGAACTTCTCTATGGCTTCGTATTGCTTCCAGCAAACTTAAAATTTGAGTCACTAGATTAAAACAAATTACACAAGTATTGTTATATCTAGACTAAAAAGAAATCACTATTGATCTGTATGACAGTGTGTTCCCTGTTATAGACTACTGTGAATACAGCCATTATTCCAGTATGTTACAGCATCATTTCACGTGCCAGTTCCACTAATAATGTTTCCAAGCTATTTGAGGTTGTACACTACCTTAAAATTTGTAAAATAAGTCCAAGTAAAGCATAAAGACACAGTTCTTCCATCACACTTTAGATACAGTTCTAAATTTATTACAAAACTACCTAAAATGTTAATTACTAATGAGACACAGATCATAATCTCAATTGCTAATGCCATGGTCATTGGCAAAGCAGACAAGAGGCAATTTGGAAGGCCCATCTAAAGTTGTACTGGTAATTTAGTTTAGAATGTTATAAAAACCTAAATCTCTGTTGCACCCCTAATTATGAGGTAGCCCATTCAAAACCTATCTCATCCAATCCTCATATGAAACTTCTCTCTTACAAGCCCTAAGAGACCCCTAGATGCTTTTTTTTAATGCACAATAACAATCCAAGGCTAAGTAAGAAAAATACTATGCTTTCCAGTCAAGACACCAGTATAAGATGGTTAAGCTGTTATCAATTTATTTCAGACAAATAATCTGGATTCCCTTTGGATGAGTCTTCTGAAAAATTAGCTTTTGAGAAGTAGTTGATATTCTTTAAGTCTTTGCCAGCCATTCTCTTTCTGAATCATGAGGTGCTTGAGGAGCTGCCAGTAGACATTTTCTATATCACAAATGTTATGGAAATATTTCCTTTTTGTTTTCACTAGGAAGCCCATCCGGACATGCCATGGGATCTTCTTGTGTCTGGTATGTAATGGTCACTGCAGCACTTAGCTACACAGTTAGATGGAAAGATAAATCAGCAGTTAGCCTTCACAGGTCAGTGTCTCTGCTATTCTCACTCATGCAGATGTTTCTTTATGCTTATGCTCTGGTTTTAATGGACTTACGTTAACCAAATACTCAAAGTCTGCTCTGTCCAGCTTGTAAAAAACCAACCAACCAACCAACCACACACACACACACACACACACACAAAAAAAAAAAAAAGAAACAACCACCACCAAGAAAAGAAACCACCACAAAAAACCAAACCAACCCTTTATTATGGTCTGCTTCAGCTGAAGAAAAAGAATATTAAGAGGATTTATCCATTTGTATAGCTTGATGTTTATTAACTTACAGTCACAGCATAAAATTTCTCAATTAGCTCCTAGTAAAGGTTGTGTCATCGGTGTTGAAAATTTTGAATTCTGTTGTCTTTATGTGTTGGATCTTTTGGTTAATACATAAATTTACTGTTTTGATGGATGCTGCCTTGGCCCATTTTAAAGCAAATGTGCAAAAAGCTGGCAAAGGTCAGTGCAGCATCTTGTTCAACCCTGTGGGGAATTCTTATAACTTCTTTGATGGCTGTTCTTTGCAAGGTTGTTCCCATGTGATGTGAATTTTGCCATCAAATAATTGGACTTTTGCATTTAGATATGACTTCATGATAAGAAATATGTTCAAGGTACTAGTGCTAATTTAACTTACCATTGATGACTTTTATCGCTAAAACCATGGTGGTGTCTTGGAACTAAAACTACTGGGGTGTGTTCCTGCAGCCATACATGTGGCTGCAAGAGCAAACACTCTTGGTAATGTTTTAGTACCAGCTTCTGGTTTTTAGTCACCTGATCGTAAACTTTTCTACTTGTCACCCTCTGCTTGGTAAAAATATGAGCCTGACAGAAAGGAGCCTGGTGTAAATTAGTAGGTGAAATCTTGTCTTATTTTTCCCTTTTAGACTGACATGGTCATTCCTCTGGAGTATTTTTTGGATTATACAGATCAGTGTGTGCATCTCAAGAGTATTCATAGCAACGCATTTCCCTCATCAAGTTGTTATTGGAGTATTTGCTGGTAATGCTGCTACGTTTTTCTTTTCAATGTGTATGCAAAATCTGAGAAAAATGAAGTATGAAAGATGGCAAGAGCTTTTTAGTAGTGCTCCTTAGCTTGCAGCTCTACTGGTGCTCTTCTCTCTCCAGAAGGATGTGAAGATGATAGACTAATGGTAAAATCTGTGAGGTATCTACTGTCTTTGTAACTGACACAAGGAGAGAGCCCTTGACCATGTATCATTTGATGCTGCACACTGCCAGAGACTAGCTCCAGCTGGTGTGGCTGCACCTGATCTTTGTTGGGCCCTCTTAGGGGGAAGCTATTTGGTTCACCTCAAATGGTGTCTAGGCATAAACTACCATGTATGCAGTGTGGGCAAGCATGGAGCCAGAGGCCTGGAGCAAAACAGAAAACGGCAAACTAGCAGTGCAGCCTCCCCAGGGTGATTTAAGAAGCTAATGAATGTTTTTCAGAGTTACTTAAACATGTTTCAAATTGGTATTTCGGGAGTTCTAACTATGAACAATCTCTCTAGTGTTTATTTGATCGTGTGGAGGGTCTTGAGCAGAGCACTGAGTGGGGGCTGCCTGCTCCCATTCTCTTTTATGGATGCATAGTAGCCTGAGCGGCACTGGCTAAGAGCCTGCAGTCCAGCTCTCCCTTTTCATAACCAGGATAAAATGAGTAAGAAAGAAGGATGTTCTGCGTCTTTTCCTTCAGCACTCAAAGCTTGTGTTGGAACTGGTATTGAATTCTGCATTGCTGGGGCCAGTCTTTCAGTGAGGAACTCTTTTGGAAAAGGAATGTTCTAGTTTAAATCTTTGATAGGCCTGACTGCACCTCCCAAATGACAACCTAAGTAGTGCCTCATACCAGAGTCATGTAGTGCTTGGTACTGAATTGCTTTTTTTTTTTTTTAACAAATTAGCATTTTTGAGTGGGGAAAAAAGGCTTTGTACTGTACTACAGAAATGGTAAATTGTATGTGGATCTATACTTACCTATATAGAAAATACATACCTTCCGAAGTCAAGTTCTGCAGGGGCACTATTAAAAGGGCTTCTTCAAAGTACAAATAAATTGTTCCTTGTAACACTGAGTTTCTAATCTGCAGGCATTCTGGTGGCAGAAGCATTTGAGCATACATCTGCTATTCAGACAGCGAGCTTGGGAATGTACATCAAGACAAACTTGTTTCTTTTCATCTTTGCCCTTGGCTTTTATCTAGTCCTCAAGCTTCTTGATATTGACTTGCTATGGTCTGTTCCAAAGGCCAAGAAGTGGTGTGCCAACCCAGACTGGATAAACATTGACACAACTCCATTTGCTGGACTGGTGAGGAATTTAGGTGCACTCTTTGGCTTAGGTCTCGGAATTAATTCTGAAATGTTCATCATGAGCTGCAGAGGTAAAAATAGCTGTAAGATAAGTTTCCGTGTGGTGTGTATAGCTGCTTCTTTAGCTACACTGCAGCTGTATAATTTCGTTAAGATACCTACTCATACTGAATATTTGTTCTACATTCTCTCTTTTTGTAAGAGTGCAGCTATGCCTCTGACTGTAGTTGCATTGGTTCCATACTGCGTCCACTCATTAATGAGGAAAACTGAAAAGAAACTTAATTAGATAGAGTTTCCAGATGGTTAGCCATGAGGGGATGGATATGAACTGGTCAAGAACCCTCAACAAAAGGCAGTTTTGCCAAGTCATTTTATCCCAAGGGGATGCCAATGCATCTTTGATGTGCTTCTGGTAAGTAGCTAGTGCATCCAAGATCAGTGCATTCAAGAATGACCTTGCCAGCTCAGAAATACTAATTGCTGTTGTTTTTTTTCCCTAGAAATATTGCAACCACACTGCAGTATGGTTAAAAATAACCCAATACTCTGGGTCATAACAAAGTTTCAAAGTATAATCTATTAGTTTTATGTAGCTACTTAGTGGTCTTTTAGTTCTGTCCATCTCCAGCTAGCTGATGCTTTGAGCCTCAGTTATACATAGTGATACTCAGTATTTAATTTTATGTATATACAGAGAGAGATAATTGTGTGTTAAAACTGCTAGAGAAGGGTATGATAGTGTCACACCCCCTCCAACTCTATAGCTGTACACTGTGAAAAAGGACAGCATAGTTATAAAGAAGACTTCAGAGTTAACTTATTGAGCTTCCTGAGCAAAACAGCTTCTGATTAAGCCAGATGATGAAAAATACTGAATGTTTCTTTTGATTAGAGTCTGTAGAATATATTTTTGTGTTACTGTGTGTTTTTTGTCATTTCTACCTTTTGAAAGCAGTCACATGAATCATGGCTGGTACAGATTACACCTTTAATGTTGAAAATGCATAAATATGGTGTAACAAATCTTTGGATTCTGTACATCTGCGCAGAGCAACAAATGAAGAATGCTGTCAATAATGAAATCATCTCAGCATAGCACCTTGAGAATGTTGTTCAAGTTCCTGTATTGCAAAGGTAAATTAGTCTAGTTCTCTCAGGTCAAGTCAAGTCACACACCTGAGTTGCTGGTAGCAGTTGAGTAAATCATGACAATGCGATTGCAGACTGTCACTGCAAGTTTATATTCTTGTCAGCTTTGTTTACCTAAGTACACAAGTTACTCATATGTTAAATATGTTTGCTATATAAAATGGATATTCTAAATAAAGGCAGGTATTTTCTTTTTTTATTCATTATTTAGCATATAGTGTTGCATATTCATTTCCAGCGCAGAATCTTTAAGCAGTATTTTACTGATGCCATCTCATAAGACATAGTATACAAGCAGCATAAAGCTGTAATGTGGGTAATGAGGGCAGTGTATGTATGATCTGACAGCAGTAAGGCTTAAAAGACGTAAGCATGATATTGTTTCTAGACTTCCAGTTAGTTGTGTGATAATTGAAATTGAAAGAATTAATTGGGAAAATAGGTGAATAGCTTGAGTTGGCCCTTAGGAATGAACATGGTACAAATTACAGAAGCAAATCTTAAACAGGCATTCTTACTCAAGTGCGTGCTAAGGCTGCCTTAAGAAAATTAATCATCTGGTTTTAACAGTGTGAGGAGTATTGTACTTTATGCATCTCCTGACATCTTCTTAAATGGTTCTCTGAACCCTTTTTTCCCATAGCAGGCGTCCTGAAACCACTCTGTTCTATAATTGTGACTCCTTAAGCAAAATTATTAAGCTAATGGGACTAGAAGCAAATAATGAAGTACAAAGACAGCTATGGCATTGATTTCTGTCATGTTCAGGTTGCTGTGTGCTTTGTTATTCCCTGCTGGTGAGGTGGCCTACAGAGGCATTACAAAACTCTAGGCTGGTCTGGGTATCCTGTTCCTCTCTCCTGACCAACAGTAAGGGATTCTTTGTGCACAGCTGTCTCTGCCTCTTGCTGCAGTGCTTGGGCCTGCTGGTGGGGTCGGCTGTTTTAAGATGCGAGTTGTGAGCAGACATCACATTTCTAAGTTCCTACCACGAGAGTCTGTGCTTCCCAATGCTGACAGAAGAATCTTGGTGCTTCTGTTTGTTAGGATAGACATAACTATAAATGTAAGATGACAAGTATTTCTGCAGTATTGTTCAAGGCACTGTACAGACATGTGAGAAGATATGGGTTTTCTCTTGCTGTCCTGTTAATTCTGCCCACAACTTCAGTTCTTCAGGGAAAGGAACAAAGATGAGTTTCCTGTCTGAGCCACCTCTTATTCTTTCTACAGCTATTAAAACATTACTAAAACCAAGAATGGTGCCCATGTAGCTGTGCTCCTGCAAGGAGATGGCAGGCTCCTTTGGAGGCAGGGGCTAGTCTAGTTGCATTGGTCGTCTCAACCGCTCTGTCCTGCACAGCAGACCCTTGTGACAGATATGATCCAAAATCACAGAAATACTTGTTACCTGCTGCAAGATACTCATCTGCTTGTCTGAAGGATAAGAGGTGAAGCACTAAAACACAAGAGCCAGTAAAAAAATACAATTTATTGGTATAATTTGGGCCACAAAAGTGATGTGCTTTATGAAGAAAGAATTATGGATGAAGTAAATGGTCACTGTAAATTTTATAGAGTTGTTACTTTTCCATGGCCTAATATAAATTAAATGTCTTATAGATATGTCAATAGGTTATTCATAGCCACTCTGTCAATAGTTTCAGTCCTGAGCCATCCAACTAATTATTGCTAAGAAACATAAAAAGGCTAAAAAGATTAAACCATGAGCTTCTTCCATTTGCAGTTAAAGATTAAAACAACAGGTTTTGTTGGCAAAACAGTATTTCAGTGTCAGCTATGTGAGTTCAGCTTGTCTGTTGAAGTAATTCTGTTAATAGAGTTGTACAAAAGTTGAAATCGTTTCTTTCTGTCTGGAATTAAGGGATGTATCTTAATAAAGTGTTCACTCTTACAGCTCCATTCAAGTTTGCAGTAGCTGGTATTGTGGTGTAGATTTGTAAGGAGCTCAACTGTGCTGGGATTTGTTCTAAAATGGGTGAACCCTTCCCCCCCCACAGCTGCAGCTTTTAGGACATGGAGAATGACTTTTCCAGTTAATACTCTACGATTCAAAGATTTAAATTAAAGATTTAAATTTTGACAGAAACTTAGACTTTCTGTCTTGGCTTTGTCTCCAAGGCCCTAAATGTCACTAAAGGGAAGAGTCCTGGTGTCCTGCAGACAATAAACAATAACGTATTTCAGAGAAACATGCAGTAGACCTTATAACACACTGTTACAGAGACAAGCTTCTGCCAGAAGATCCTTTCTGACCTTTGTCATTTCTGAATTAATTGTGCCTCTGTTTATCAGCTCTGTTTAAGACCTAATTATGGCTATTTGTTCCACCTTTACTGAACATACTTATGATTTCTGTAAAACTACTCATTTTCTGAAAGAAAAAGAGGACATATTATCCATGACCATCTCTATAGAAGTGATTTAAATAACTGTGATGATTAACTGTTGGATTTTACAGTGATTTAACTAACGCATTTATTCCTATTCAAAATCTATTTGACAGTTTTGATCAGTGGTGAGAGTGTAGGGCAAATGATCCTCACCAGCTTCTGTTCTTGACTGCCTTCGTTACTTGTATGGAGCTGCCTTCTTTGTAAGTACAGGATTTTTTCTGAAGGGGCACAGCCAGACCAGGCTCATGGTGCCAGTGCATTAGTGCTGTCATGGCACACAGCAGAAGCCCAGCCTGACAGGTAAGAGTTGAAGGGGTGCAAGGGTGTGGGTCTGTACCCACAGCACAGTAAGGGTGACTGTTGTAAACCTCTGCAGACCAAACGTTAGGAGAGATTTGAGCGCTTCAGATATACAGCAGCATTCTCAGGATTATTTCTTACTCATATAGCTTACCTAGCCAAATAGCAGTTTTCAGAGCAGTAGAGCAGAGTTGTTCTTGATAGCTAGTTGAGGAAAGACAGGACTGTGCAGTCTGACTGCAGGTGGTGGCAATTCCCCAGCAAGGATCTTGCTCATTTTCAGGCTTTTTTCCCCTTAGCAGTGGGCTAAGCTACTTCCTGAATACATCACCCTGTGCTTAGTCCCCTGGATGTGCCTGACAAGCGTGCTTGATGCAGAAAGCTATGTACATTTAGGGTACACAGAACTCACGATGTTGTAGAGCATTCTATAGCACAGTGGGGTCCCAACACAGAAAAGCAGTCTTTCACAATTAGAATCACAGTGGCTCAGCTAATTGGGGCTCCAGTGGTAACAAGCTTGTAGTAAGCTCCTTCTGTTGCCATCAGTTCATCATGAGTGCCCTTTTCAATGACGGTTCCTTGTGACATCACAGCGATGATGTCTGCATTCTGGATCGTGGACAGGCGGTGGGCAATGACGATGCAGGTACGCCCTTCTCTGGCCTTATCCAGTGCCGCCTGCACAGTCTAAAGGCAGCAGACCAAGTGTCAGTTAAAATATGCAAACCAAAGAAAGTCTCAGGTGGAGAAATGTGATTTTTTCAAATTAATTAACTGTATTTGTGCAACACTTGTAAAAGTGACTGTGAGGCTAAATCAAAGGTCCGGTTACTGGGTGTACTTAGCTGGATTTATTAGCAGTGCAAAAAGGAACATCCTGGGGTAAAGGCTGGACTTGATGATCTTAAAGGTCTTTTCCAACCTAGTTGATTCTGCTTCTATGAGAAGTAAACATGGACAGCAGTAGAAATTAAGGTACGCCTTTATTCAGCTGACATAATGAATGTCAGCTAGTGGATGTTTTTAAATTTTCACTACTTTTCTATTCAGGGTGTAACCAAGTTAAGCAAATTATTGCCCAAGTTCTTGGCCCCCTCACTTCTGTTTTTATTGGGCATTCAAGGCCCATTTTTGACATGCTTGAATATATTTTAGTTTATTAATGTGCAGAAGTTATGAGATATTACCACTGAATGCTCTGAAACCCAGGGAATTAGCATGCACATTTCTGGAAAGTGCTGCCTGTCACTGGCAGTCTGAGAGTTCGTGTAGCTGGTGGCTATTTTATAGCTGTGCTTCCTGGATCTCCCGCAAAGCCCATTAAAGGTGTAAGTACGTGCCAAATTAACAACGGGATGTAATACTGAAGTCATGCAATGGAGCACATTGGCATGTCTCTAAAGAACAGAAAAAGTCATTGTGAATTGTAAGCTGTTGTATTAACTTTCCCTTATTGCCTATCCCTGCACATTTACCTTTTCACTTTCTGTGTCCAAGGCAGATGTAGCTTCATCCAGTAATAAAATTTTAGGATCTCGTACGATGGCCCTTGCTATAGCAATGCGTTGTTTTTGCCCACGAGACAGCTGAGATCCTTGAGCCCCAACATTAGTTTCATATTTCTGAAAATACACAAAAGGAAGATTTTATTGAGGTGTAGGCAAACACACCAGTGCACAACCTGAAGGAAGAGCAGGAGAGAGGTGAGAGCGCTGAGCATTGCTGCCTTCTTAAAAACCCTGTACAAGTGATACACATGGCTGCAGAGGGTGTGCAGTTCTGGGGCCCTAGGGCACAGGCAGCATGATGATGAGCCTAAAAGAAAACTTTGATAGCAGGACATTGGCTTATTTGTTTAAGGCAAAAGAAATCCCCCACCCCAGATGTGGGAGAAGAGGCTGAAAGTGATGGAAAGGCTTTCTGGACAAGTTTTTCATTTGGGTGCCTTTATTGTATCCATACCTTTTATCTTTTGATTTATATTTATATTATTTCAGTGCATTTCAATACTCCTGAAGTGCACATAATGGGCCGCCTTCAAACGTTTCTGTCCAAGTATCATGCCCTGATCAGAAGTCAAATTTCCCACAGTAGGGAACAGGATTTGTACTTTCTGATCTAAGTGTAATACTTTGCTCAACTGTGCTGCTGCTTTTCTCTTGTCTGTGGCTTTGAAAAATCTTTTTTCCTATTTCAGAGTTGTAATCTCTGATTTCGGTTTTATAAATATTTGTTTACTGTGTAAAAATCCAGTAGCAACTCATGGCCAAACCCTCAGGAACACACTGAATGGCCATGACACCCTCTTTGCTCCTACTGTTACAGCTGTAGAAGTAAATAAAAGGTATATGTATGGAGCAACTTCAGCTGGGTTTGGAGCAGCTCCCACTGCAGTAAACACTGAGCAGACAAGCTGTAGCTTCACAGCTGAGGCCTTGAAGGTACTTACATTAGGCAGTGACATGACAAAGTCATGCAGCTGAGCC